TGGTAAGAAAAAGTGGATTTGAAAAGGCACAAGGAAGCTATTTGTTCATCTTTATGGTGCATGCATCCAAATGGGGCCAATAATGTTGCCCTAGTGATGAGCTCACAGATGCTCTCCAAATTCCATCTTAAAGGTTGTTCTGATTCAACGCCATATCAGATTGCAAGCTTTGCTTCTTTTTTGCATGAAAATCTGTACTTATGTTCCTAAATATATGCATCAGTTGTATCTATTTTTGAACTGTATGCATTATTCTCTCATTGATTAAGCATATTGTGTGCATTGTTCAAAAGCACACATTATTCAGGGACATTTTCTGAACAATGTATGCATGTTGTTGAATGCATTTTTGGGGGCTTGTGAATCATATTGCAAGCTTGGAAATGCATGGATTTCAAGATTGTGTCCAAGCTCGTGCTTGATCCAGAAGGTGCAAACTTAATTTCTCAATATATCCTTACACCCTGTTGACTAACAGCTAAATGCAAACATTGTTGGCTATGCAGAATCACTATGTCCAAAACTACTTTTAGTTTCTCTTTGCAATGATCCCATTATATAAAAGGAAAATACCATTTGTCCCTGTGTGACAAAAATGGAATGGCCTTTTAAAACAATGGTATCTCAAATAATATAGAGACAAAGTAACAGTTAAGAGACAAGACAGTGGGCTTGTGAGAGAAGTAAATGTCTACTCAGAAGGAAGATATACAAAATTCAGCAGGGCTTACTGCCAGCTGTGTTTGTAGTGAAGAGGTGGCCAAAGTTTCAGATCCAGCCTTCAAAAGTTCAAGAGCACACAAACTATATGTGTGCATTATATATTAAAGTAGTTTGCCAAAGTTTCCTTTATTCTATTTTAGGAGGAAATTAAGCAGGATGTTTTTGTGACTAGCTCCACTGCAGTTTTTCAAGCTGCTGGCTTTGTGAATATGGAATGCAGCCAGTAGCTTGAAACACTGGTATAGGGCAGGAATATAGGGCAGGAATGACCAGACTTGCTCAATGGAAGAGGCACATACAGGAAATGTCAGATGTTTGAGAGCCGCAAGCAGGTGCCTGCGGGTGGTAGCAGCAGTGGGCAGTGAGCTGCAAAATAAATAAATAATATAAATAAACTCAAAGAGCCGTATGTGGCTTGTGAGCCTGGGTTTGGCCACCCTTGGTATAGGAGTATTGCCTCTGTTGACAGTGAATGCAAAATCTTTCTTCCTTCTGGTGTAAATGTTCTTCTTCAAAGTTGCATTTCTTAAAGATATGATAATATTCTGTGTCACCAAGACCACTGTATAGAAGCATCAGATTAGAAAGGTAGCATTGCAGGCAGCAAGAGGCCCACTATACCTGTTTTCTACAAAATTTCCTTTTTGAACACTCCTAACAAGAATTGTCATACAATTTCTGAAATGGAGGGTAACTAATTCCACCTGCTGCAAGAACAGGGGGCTTGGGGTAGTTAATTCCTTATAGCCTGGACCTTACTCCTAAGGTGGCCTCAGATACCCAGAACTGGGGGGGGGGGGGTGGAACTGACTGACCCTTTGTCCTTCTCCAGGTGTGTTTACTCTCTCCTCTCTGTCATCTCACTGGCTCAGGCTTGGGTCTGTTCTTTTGTGGCTGAGCCTGCACTCTCTCCCTTCCATGCTGTTCATATATTGTCACAGAGTTTGGCAGCCAGTAGTTTGCACCTCTTTTGCATGCCATCTACATCTCTTGGGCAGCTGGTTCAATCTGTTTCCGCACTGTGCCTTGTTATCAGTGCTCCTCCCTCTTCTCCTTCTTGCATACCAAATTCCCCATACCTCTTGCACAAGCTGTTTTTGGGGTTCACCACACCCCATCACTGCAGGCTTTTAAAGAAGAGCCTGAAGGCATTCTCTTTTACCTTGGACTTCCTGTTATGTATTCACTGCTGTTGCTATTTTTATTGCCATATTGGTTTTTATGATGTGTTTAATTATTGCGCATTGCCTTGGGAGGACCCCTGCCCTGAAAGGCAGCCAAGAAATATTCTAAATAAACAAACAGACAACGCTTCTCCTTTGCCCGCAGCTGGCTGCAAAACGAGAATTGCAAAGGGAGAAATGCAGGAGCCACAAAGTATCTGGACACTTTAATTGTCAACCATCATCTTTGTTCCACCATAAATTCATCCTACTGGGTAGATATGTGTGCATTTGTTATGCGCATTTGGCAGATGATTAAGGTATCTATCTGCTGTAGAAGGTCAGAAAAACAGCTGAAGGAATGACATTAGGAAAAGACAGTATTGAGACTCTTGCTGAAAAAGCAGTGTGGCAAGATAGTTGTTTATTTTATATTTTGAGAGAATATTAATAAGGGTTACTTTGATGCTAAAGGAAAGCAGTCCTCATTTCTAGACAACTGAATTTTCATGTTCCCAGTGCAACACATTTTATCCATGTGCAGCAGGTGGAATGTTAGTGTATTTCAATCCGCCCACATGTGAAGCTTAACAGAAATAGCATCAAAGTAAAAGAACATACAGTACTTATATTACCACTCACACACTGTGAGCTAACTGTAGACATAACTCAAAGTGAAGGAGAAATGGTTTTAAAAAATGAATAACCACTTGAGGAACAATCCTTCATTGACAAAGAGAAATTAGACTACTTATTTAGCTCATTCTGATCCAAGAAATCATTGTACATTTTTTGCAATTTTTGCCATGGGTAGGTAACCATTTTCCGATTAAATAGAGAGAAGGGTTTTCTGAAAATTACTCCTTCTAATGGGTTCCTCTTTCTTACTAAGAATCCAAGCCAGTGCAGATACTAGGGTAACACCATGGGGATTGAAGCAGTCAGTACTTTCTCACAAATGTATATGTTTTCCACCAGCAGAGGCTCTTTCAAACACAAGGCAAGCATAAACACCCCTACTTACACTACATCCTGCACTTATGGCATGAGAAGTCCTAGGTCTTAATTCATGCAAGGGCCACATTTAGAGAAGATTTGCATTCTAGTGGTGCTTGTGGTAAAAGGCAAAGGGTGCAGGGCAAAATACAAAAAATACCACACTATTGAGACTTACAGCTCTTGCTGACAGTAGCTAAGAACTAGGAGAGACATTTCAACCTTTCAGAATGAGGAAAAATGCAGAAAGGCTGGGAAAACATTCACTGATTAGTAGTTAACAAAGTGTTGATCTGGGAAATCTCTGAGGGTCTGATTTTGCCTCCAGGCCTGAGGTTTCCCACCCGCCTTAAGACATTCTTATTAGTATGCTTAGGCTCATGCTCAATTGCAAACCTTATCCACAAACAAGGGACGTTCATATGAATTAGCACGATGTTAAGAATATCTACTTATTCTCTATCATGTATTTCTCTAAGGAGCTGAGGACAGCATGGCTGCCATGCCTCGTTTTTCATTTCACAGATATGACTTTGTATTGTTTCTAATTTGTACCTGGCTTACTTTACTTATTTTGTAACACACTAACTAAAAGCCTTTCATTTCATCATATAAAAGTAAGTCCAGGAGTTTAGGTTTCATGTTCTTTTAAGCTGCAAAACATACAGACTAGATTTACAAATTTCCTTCTGAGTTACAACCTCCATTATCCATATACAGGCAGTCCCCGAGATATGAACATTCATGTTATGAGCAACCTGTACTTACGAACAAACTGCCATAAAGTCTCTTAATTTAAACATTTGAATTAAAGGCCTACTACAGGAAATCGTTAATCACCATACAGAGAGAGGAGGTGGAAGGGTAGAGAGGGAGGCCTCCAAAGCACACCTTCTGTATCTGAAGAAGGAAAACTCTCTGGCATTTCCTTGCTGCAAAGAGGAGATGCTGGTGAGTTTGGGTGAGGGGGTAAGCTAGAGATATTTGCGGTTTTTCCATTTTCATGGGGGTCCTGTGCTTCTGAGCTCCACAAATGTGGAGGCCAGCTTACATACAAATTCGACTTAAAGATGTATTTCCATTCTCTCAGGAATGGAACTTGTTTGTAACCTGGGGTCTGCCTTTATATTCAAAACTAAAGAGAAGAATTACAGAGTTATCATAGTGCCCCCATACTTTTTACTAAAAAGTACTTTTCACTGCCTGCTTTTAAATATCTTACAATGGTAAAGTGGGTCAGAAAGAGAACAGGTTGTCTGAGCTCTCAAAGACTTGGGAAGGAATAGAAAGAATGAAAAACAGCAGGATACCTGCACTCTTCCTTAGCCTCCAAAGAAGGTCAAAGAATAAGTCAGCAGAAGTGACAACCTGCCCATAAGTAGCACTCAGTATTTCCATAAATTTAGAAAGGATGAAATACAGGTTCATTCAGGGGCTCCTCTGTAAACTAGTTCTGCATTTGGCTCGGTTGTCTAAAGTGTTCCAGAAATTTAGATTACAGAACAATCCTACTGTCCTGTGGAGAGAGTTTCAGGGACCATAGGATATATCGGAATCTGTCTTCTGAAGCAATAAATATGTCTAAAACCTTGGGAGGGGGACTCTGCCACCAGAAGCTTCCCTTGACCCTTTGCAGCTGCCATGGAAGGCGCCATGGGGGCTATTCTTTGAAGATGCCCTAAAGGAGGCATTTTCATGAGAGGTTGGGGAGAGGAAAGACCAAGGTCTGCAGTGTCCTATAGCCTCTCCACTGCCAATTCTGCTTTAGTTCCTGCCAGTAGGGTACAGTAGAGATATCTGGCTCCAGTTTTCTCTTAATATGTTATTGTTTTTAATCCAGAAGATATAGTGCTCAGTGCAATCAATTTTTCCATTTTTTCTTTAAAATCTTGGGAATTGAAACACAGAGCAACCCACTATACAAACCACCTCATGAAAACTCAGTGATTGTAGAACCACAAAATTAGGACTTGTCAGCAAAATGCCCAAAGCACTTTAACCAAATAATTGCAGTATATCTATATCTATTCATATTTCTCAGCTGTCGAAAAGAAGCATTTGCACGAAGAATGTTTTAAAGTTAAAAAGAAAACAATTTAACTATTGAGAATGACTTACCAGCTGCTCAGATTTCACACCAAAAAGTTGTATCGTCTTTGCCACATTTTTTGAGACTGCCAAACTGAGATTTGGATCTACAGCAGCCACATTCAATTCACTAGAAAGAAAAAGCAAAAGTAATTACTTCTTAGTGATCATATTTTATTACAACTTCCATTTTAATTCAGTCCACAGACAAGGGAAAAACTTACACCTTCACTTTACAGTAGGTATAATGGGTATACACTCTCTAAATTTGTAGGAGGTGAAGTGTCGCTCACACCATTAGTTTCTTTTGCACACAAACAACCATGAACTGAGTTCATACTTTTGGTTCTCCATATGATCAAAGCTGAGGGCAGACCTCTGCTGCTTTGCACAATAAAATTCAGGAGGTGTGCTCTGACTGAACTTCATTCCTAATTGCTTGTATGATTAATGAAGGATCAATCATTTAGCAGTAATGAACTTGCAGTTCTCAAATTATAATCTTGGGAGAGAAAAATTGTGTTATACATTATGTATTGAAATTTATCACAAGTACTTACCTTGCAAAGGTTTTGATGATACTGTCAAGCTCATCAGGTGAAGGAGGATTGCGCCCTCCAGGTGGAAAGACGAGGTTGATGGGGTCGAAGAGCCGAGATAAGGACTTTGACAAGTAGGCAGCTTCATAAGGTTGCAAAGAGTCTTTCAGGGCTATTTCTGGGCTGGGAAGTGAAGGCAATTGGTTAAGGTAATATGTATTTCCTTTTTTCAAACAGCAGAATAATAATAGTGCAGCCTATTTGGTGCAGGGCAGGGGTCTCAAACTCAACTTACCTGGGGGCAGTCTGGGTGAGGCTGGGCCGCATCAAGTATTCCACCACCGCGGTGGTGGTGGGCCGCTCATCCCGTGGCCGGCCCGGGCGCAAACAGCGCTTTGAAGGCTGCAGGGCCCCTCCCTGGTGCCCTGCCTGTCCCGGCAATTGGCCCGCGGGCCGCGAATTTGAGACCCCTGGTGTAGGGAATCTGTACCTTTCTAAATTTGTAGATATCCAAATTACAATGCTTCTTTATTGGGCCTGGTGGATGATGGGATTTGGAGTACAACATCATCTGGTTGAAACAGATTACCTAACCCTGCTCTAACATGTATAAATCTTGCAAGGGCACAGTCCACACTCTCTTAGCTTTCTCTGAATACAAGAACTTTACTAGAACCTTACTGTTTACCACTACCACTTTCAAGGTATGCAGATCATTTAGGGTAATTTTTAGATGAATTGTATATAACAGTCCACCAATTCTAAAGTTCAGAGCTATAAAGCCAATATTCATTCAATGAGCAGGACAACTTACAAAGGTCCTAACCAGTAGAGATGTATGTAGTAGTAGGCAATTAATTCTACCCTTCTAAATGCATACACTGTTCATTTTTTATGGCAAAATAATTCAATAACTTTGGCATATCAACTTTCTAAATCAAGGTATACCTAGGACACACAATGTTTAGAACAACAAAGAGGACAGTGGATGCCATACAGGATGCCCTAACTGAATTCAAAATAGGCTATCAGCATATTGGTTTTAGCTTTCTGAAGCAAAAATCACTCCACATCAATCCAGTGGATTATTCACAGAAGAAACTGTTGGTCTAGCAAAGCTGCACTACCTTTCCCTGTCACACAAATACTACTAGGCCACCCTGTAAAACCTAAAATCTGCAACCAGTTGTGCAACTGGTTGCATGGGAATAACTTTTGATGGACACTTTCATGCTTCCATTCAAATCAATGGACCCATTACAGTACACTTCAGTGAGAGGAGACTGAATTTAGCAGCAAGATTAAAGCAAAAACCACAATTCTATGCTGTAAGAAATGCCTCTAACAGAAGAGCTAATGGAAATATTATTGACAGGGAGGCCAGAATGGAATGATTGGTAGACTCAGGGTCAGATGGAGAAAGTGAAAGTCAGACAGGGACAGGCAGTTGAGATGGGGAAGAGAGAGATGGCGAGAGAACTGAGGGACCAGAGTTAGTTAGCTGGCTGACTGACTGGAACATTTTAGTAGCTGTAGAATATTTTTCTATCTAAGCATGCATAGAACCGCATCTTGTTAGTTACTGAAAAGACAGAGGAATTACTGGAATCAGAGTGAGGTAACTAAAGGCTAGTGGCCACAATGTCTCAATTTGTAGAATGATCAGCAGGTTGTTCTTCACTACAATATCAAAACAAAATACAGAAGAAGAATTTCTGGAATTTTCTCCAATTACAAATATAATACACATACTCATAATCTTGTTTCTTTTGCATGAATATGTCATGTGCATCTTCTTCTAGCTGCTGAAGTTCAGCAAAGTGTTCCACGCTCCCATTTGTAATAACATTTCTTTGAATGTTTTCACTATATTGTTGAAGACGCTTCCACAGATCATTATAGAGTCTCAATAATTTAGGATATTCTCCTTCAAAAGCTTGTTTCAAAAACATGGAAGCTGCAAGACAATGACAAATATCAATATGACTTGGGACATACATTGATTTCTGTGATATCAAAAGTATTGCTATTTAAAGCCAACAGAGTATGAAAATGAAATATTTCAATAAATGCAGTGTCTGTAACAGTCTGGAAAATAGGTTACAGCCAGGATTATACTGAGGAGGAAACTGGGTCCCTTAATTGGTCCCCTCAGCAAGGATAAAAGTGAATGCATCGGGGGCATTTCTAACATGTCCAGCATTAGTCAATCGACACATGTGCTATTCTAACAAAATACTGTCCACAGTTTCTGCAGTCCAAACACAGTATTAAGGCCTGATGTTCGTTCCATTTCTGTATTTTAGTGCAAAAATGCTACTTCATTAAATAGTTATTCTCTCCCCACTCCTGTAACTATTTTCCAAATGAAAAACCCACCCACCTGCTCTCACTTGCTATTTGTCCTGATAGCAAAACCCATACAGTCAGAGTTAATCATGAAACTGATGTGTGTATATGGGTGTGTGGGGAGTGAGATTTAACCTATAGTTCCAGGTCAGGTCAGAATCCCATGACTGCTACTTGGAACACAGAGGCACTCAGGCATCTTTGTCATAACATACGGTGCAACCCTGAGTAGGAATGCAGTAAAAGTCAGGTATACTGCAGCCATAAGGAGTCCTGTGAGTTTCCAACACAGTTAAAGCACATAGTATTCTGATCCTTTCCAGACCTGTAATCTTAGCATATTCTTAACAATTCTGCAGTAATTATATGTGGTGGTATTAGGCAGTCACTCAAACTAAACTAGTTTCTAGAATGCCTGGTTACTGAGCTATTACATAACAACGGTTTCCACATGAAATAGTCTCTCTAGCTTTTTAAAAAAATGACTAGATATATGAAACTACAGAAACACTGGCAGAGAATGTGTCTAGTTATTCACATGCAAAATTGTAAAATATTAGCGATTTTATGGAGGGAAATATTATTTGTATAACTTCAACATTCCTTTGATCTGAAAAAACCCCTATGCACACTCATCACAAAACCTGTGATGAATGACACTGTAGATCACAGCAGCAATACTAAAAATATATATGTTCCTGGGTTGCTATTCTATTTATCCATCAGATTTTTATCCTATTCTTTTTTCCAAGGCGTTCAGGGCAGGCTGTGAAGCAGTAATTGGCAGAAAAATCATCCAGTGAGTGTGATGGTTGTATATAGGTTTGAACCCAGATGGTCTTTGCCCCATTGTAAATCGAAGTTTCTATTTACCACACCACTCTTAAGTCTCCCAACACTATTTTTTAATTGGTTCTCAGATTCTTGACACATGAGCAACATTCTCGGAACAAGTGCTCAGATACATATAGGCCAATTTTCCAACAGAAAGTCTACTTTTATTTTCACATACAACACAGTGGCCATACAGCACAGAAGAAACAAAAAAACAAAAGTACACTGCCATTGTTCGCTTATTGCAAAGAGTCTAAAATAATTTCTCTGGAGTAGCACAGCTGGTACTCATATAATTTTGCAGAATCCAATTTCCTCAAGGCAAGATTTCTGTTGCAGAAATGGTATTCTCACAGCACTTACACAATGATGTTTTATTGCTGGAAAAATGTGATTCCTCTCCTGATCTAGTAATAATCATACATACTATATGGAACATGGTTATAGGATGCCACAGGCACCTAGCAGAATGTGGTCAGCAATGCAATTCTTTCCCCACCTGCATTATTTTGTGTAGCTTTTCTGCAAGTTTCTTTACGGAAGTGAACATTACAAGGCAACAAAAACCAGCAAAACTACCTTTATATTATTTGTGGAGTCGTGCCCGACCCATTGTGACCCCATGGACAACATTCCTCCGGGCTCTCCTATTCCCCACCATCCCCCGGAGTCCACTGAAGCTCACACTGACTGCGTCAGTGACTCTATCCAGCCACCTCATCCTCTGCCGTCCCCTTCTTCTTTTGCCATCAATTGTTCCCAGCATTAGGCTCTTCTCCAGGGAGTCCTTCCTTCTCATTAGGTGGCCAAAGTATTTGAGTTTCATCTTCAGGATCTGGCCTTCTAAAGAGCAGTCAGGGTTGATCTCCTCTAGGACTGACCGGTTTGATCGCCTTGCGGTCCAAGGGACTCGCAGGAGTCTCCTCCAGCACCACAATTCAAAGGCCTCAATTCTTCAGTGCTCAGCCTTCCTTATGGTCCAATTTTCACAGCCATACATTACAACTGGGAAAACCAAAGCCTTGACTATATGAATTTTTGTCAGCAGGGTGAGCACTCTGCTTTTTAGTATGCTATCTAGATTTGCCATAGCTTTCCTCCCAAGGAGAAAGTGTCTTTTAATTTCTTGGCCGCAGTCACCATCTGCGGTGATCTTGGAGCTCAGGGAAATAAAATCTGTCACTACCTCCATTTCTTCCCCATCTATTTGCCAGGAAGTGAGAGGACCGGATGCCATCATCTTAGTTTTCTTAATGTTGAGTTTCAAGCCAACTTTTGCACTCTCCTCTTTCACCCGCATCAAGTTGCTCTTTTGAAAGTTCCTCTTCACTTGTTGCCATTAGAGTGCCCATCACCATTTCACAGATACTTTCCACTTTTGTTTTTTTCATCCAGATTCTATATACCCCACCATTTCAGCAGTTCAGCACACATCTTCCTCATAAGTTAGAAAAAGAAGACTGCCATTTTTATTCCTGCTTTTGATAGTACATGTGAGATTGACAAAGCACTAAAGCCAGGCATCTCCACATTGTGAGATGAAGAATTGGATGCAGTACCAGAAAGGAACTTGCACATTTTATGCTCTATCCTCCATCATCAGTGTTTTATAGTGGACAGCTATTGGAAGGAAAAGAGGCAACTTAACTGCTCTGTGTTGCACAGAAATGATATCAACGCTGCTTGTGACATTCACTCTACCTGTAGTGTCAACCAAAATATTTAAACAAGCTGGAACTCAAATTCACCACTACAATGAAAAATGTGCAGCCATCTGTGTAGCCATCGGTGGGATGAGGGGAAAAAATAGAATTCTTTTCTGAATTATGTAATCTTGGTTCTAGAAATCTGAAGGATTTCGGGATGGCAAAGGGATGGAAGTGCTATATTATTTCCATTACTGGATGGGCTTTTCCTTTTTGGGGAGGTATCACTCCAGTTGACAAATCTTTCCAGGTGGTGTATTAAACTAAAGCTTAAAAAACCTGGCCAACTCATATGACAGTTATATGAGTTATAGTTTCAAGATGGTTAAGAACTGGTTATCTGGGAAAGGAAAGCCATCATTTCCCTCCACTACTCGTTATTCAGGTGTTATGAGCAGCCCACTCAGCCAGACAATACTGAATCCATCTTCTTCAGGTTCATGAGATAGAAATCTCCCATTTGCCATCTGCTGCAGGTCTCTGCTTAAGTAAAAGGACTGTCTGAGGTCATACACAGGGCAAGCACTGCCATTTAGTAAAACTATAGATTAACAAACTGCCCAGGTACCTGCACAATAAAAATCTCCTTGAACCTATTTTCAGAGCTAGGGATGAGCCCTTACCAGAAAATCAGCAGACAAAAACGCAAGATTCCTTTGGAATCTCCACCCAGGCTAGTGGGGAGAAACCAGAGATGTCCTTCACTGGAAAGGGAAGCTGGGGCTCTTCCAGTACCAGGAAAGATTGCCCTAAGGTTGCTCTACTATAGGCATTCAGATATAGTTTTCCCCAAATGAAGGAGATCTGACTCAGAAAGCAAGAGAACTTTGCCATAGACCTACTGGGTCTTGCAGGTAGGACTGTGCCAGATAAACTGTATGCTCTCTTTTCATTTGTCTTTTGCCATTTTGAATTGCTTCCTGCCATGTTCTCAGACTCTAACCAACCTTTTCCTTCTGTACTTTCCCTGCATTCCTAATAAATCTTTTACCCTGTTCTCACCAAAACCCAGACTGTGTGCATTGGGTGCACTGGGAGAGACTGGGAGAGACTGACATGGGATGCACCATGTTTTTGGGACTTGCTAACACTATTTCAATACCTGTAATCTACCTGAATATTTCAATACCTGAATAAAACCTGTAATTTAGCTGTGCTCAACTAAGAACACAGACAGGCTGCAGAAACGCCCAGTACAAGGAACTTCAGTAGAATTCTTCAACAGTTGTTCCAAAGAGTTCAAGAGCACTTGGGAACTGGGGAGACTTGATTTGTTTTTCTCATGGTGGTGACAGCTGGTACCAGTTGGCATTGCTGCAGCTAGCCTCACACCCTTACAGGGGCTTGCCTGCAGGTTCCAGGCCACTACATCAGATCAGAAAGACTGCAGCAGGTAAAGGAGGTGGTGGAGGATATAACAAATGTTCAAGGTATCTGCAGAACATGCAACAATCACACATGCTGAACTCGATACTTACAGTCAGTTGCTTTCTGAAACTGAGAGGCAAGAGAGCAAGTCACAGCTGTCCAAAATGTGTACAAAATATCTGACTGGCCATCCTGGGAGAAAAAGAAGACAAGATAGACATTTAAAATACTCTCTAAATTTAGCACTGGGAGTATGTGTATCAATTCCTCTATTGTAGTCAAAATAATACTGTAGTGCATATCTTCAAAAATCAAAGAACTATTGATTCATCAAATAAAGCTGTCACCCTGAAATCCTACCATTTTAGTATTCATTTATTATTGACATTTACATATAGCTTTATTTGCTAAAAAGCCATCAAGACAGTTGACAACAATTTAAAACAAAATCTTAATGCAATTTTAAAAGTAACAAGAATATTAAAACATTAAACAACTGCATAATATAAAAGGCTAAAACAAAAAGACACATCTTTCTACTCCCATTAAAAGCCAAGAAAGTGGGGTCCAATTGTAATTTCTGACAAAGTGCATTCCACAGTTTTAGGGCAGCACAGAAAAAAATCTCTTCCATGCACACTAGACAAATGAACCTCTTTTGTCCCTTCCTGCTGATCCTAATATACTGGACAGGTTTATAATGAGACAGCAAGTCTCCTAGATAGCCTTAAGCTAGTGCAAAACCAGGATTCTGTTTTCAAGGTGATACATAATCCAGAGAACAGAAACAAATTCCTCAATACAATTAGAGCTAATTTTGAAGGCCTGACCAACCTATCCTCATACTTTTAGTATTATGAAGATACATTGCTAAACAGTTTACAGAATGGTTAATGCAGAGTTCAGGCTCTTAATTGATACAAAGCCTGGTCTGCTGCACAGCAGAAAGGGGTGGTACAGTTGGAGTGATACATTTCTAATTGCAATTGGAGATCGTGTTTCTGCATGCTTTGTGCATTCAGACAAACAAACAAAGCCCTGCAAACAGAAACCAACACTGAAAGAACAGGTTGGATTAGACCACCACTAAATGCGGTTTTTCATTTACAAGGTGTGCTTTTTTTTTTTTTTAATTGGAAGCTTTCAAAAGGTGTGTTCCCCTCTACAAAGGGAGATATTTTCCTTTCTTCCATTCTCATAATCACTAAATGATATGACTGTATGAATACTGCAACTATAAACTGTATTACTCATTGTTACATCACAGGGTCTTTCAAGCCAGTAGCTGCAGGATCAGACTCACTTCTTGGGAAGTAGAATAAGGCAATAAGCAGGATAAGATCGAAGTCTCTCTAGTCTCTACTGGTAACTGGTTCCAGACCCAGAATAAAAAGCCACAGAGTAATACACGCAGAACCTTGACGAATGCTCAGGATAAAAGTGCATGAAATGATGTAAATACTGACAGGATCAGTATGATGGTCACAGTGCAGCTAAGTAGAGGCTAGGCTGAAAACCCATAAAGGTATATTTGCAGGATCCAAGGTGTAATGCTATACATAAGCAGTTGTAGAGTCAGGAGTGTCTGTTATTGAGCTTGCTGTAAAACTGAAGACATCTTGCCCTGCCCGCTAGGTCCTTTGCATTCCTGACAGCTACTGACTGGCTGTACTGTGCAGCCTCTGCTGCATTTCCTGGCAGTCACTCCTCTGCTTCAACTTTGGCCATCTAAAGAGCCAACTGACCAATTCCAGTACCTAATCCTTAACCTTCTGCTATTCCTTTCCCCTTGTTCTTCCTATCCACTTTCTTCTCTCTGCCCTGAACTGCTAGTTTTCAGGCTTTTATTCTGTGCCCAGAGTCCACCTCCTCCTTTTCCCTCAGAGTCCCTGAATAACTTAAGCAGTCTTTGTCCTGATTCCCTTCTCTTCTGTTTATCCAGGCCTAACTATGCTTGGCTACTGTAACTGGGCAGCCAGGAATCCCTGGGGGATTGTACAGCAACCCCCAGCGACTCCTCACAGAAGCTTTAAAAAGATGATGGCAACACCCTTGCAATCTAAACTGCTCTACTCTACAGGCTCATTATGATGAATGTGACTCCACAGCTAAGTTTCAGTTGATCAAGAAAGTTATAAAGAAGAATCAGTAAAAAACATTATACTTGACTTTAAATATATGCTGATGTTGATGCTTTTGCAATGTAATTTTTTGACAATTTCTAAAACAATTAGGCTACAATCCCATCCACAGTGATACAGGCTTACATGATTTCAATAACTGTGAATGTCTCCCAAGAGTGAGCTGTCTTGCACCTTTAGATTCCAATTATCCTTTAGCAATTTTTCATAACTTTGAATGGAACAGTAAGCTACAATCTGCTTGTTTTGCTCAACAGGAAATAATTTATGCCCAGAAGGAAGCCCTGATGGAATAATGAGAGAGAATTCATCCCCAGGTGAGGCAGGAAGGTAAGAGCTACTGCATCAATTTGGGAGGTTGGTAGCTGGGAAAAGATAGGCAAAAAAAGAGAGATATGGCTTAGATAGGAAATCGATATTAAGATGAGGATCAAAGGTAGGAGCAGTGGTGGCAGTGCCTTGCTGCAGCAGTGACAACACCCACAGCCTAAAACGTATCAATTTAGCCATTGCCATACTTCCTTTTTACAGTGTGAGGCGATGTGCAGTGAAAATCACAAAAACAACACTACTTACATAAAACATTAATCATAAAAACTTATACAAGTTATCTATTAGTCAATCTATTTACAAAATATCATTGAAAGCCCATCTAACAGAAATGAATATTTTTTACAGATCAAAATGTCCCATCAAAATCTGAACAAAGAGCTCCATCGGTGCAAACTGAAGACCAACAGGAGCTTCTCTGGGTGGACTCATTAGACTCATTCCAAATTAATAAATCTCCCATCCTATTAAAGTCTAGAGCAGGGGTGGGCAATTAATTTTCCTATGGGGCCACATGAGAAACTTTGACAGTTGTTAAAGGCCGGACCAATACACTTATAGCTCTGCTCAATATATATCTCTATAAATACAGTAAATGAAACATTACAATGATACAATGAAAATGTGGAGCACAGAACAACACTATTTAAAGAATATTCACAAAAACATTAACATTAACATTACATGAAAAGCAATAAATTCAATTCAATTTAGCAGATCCTTCAAAATAAAAGCAGTGCAGTTGTATTGCTTTCATCTACCGTATTTTTCGCTCTATAAGATGCACGTTCCCCCCCCCCAAAAAATAAGGGGAAATGTCTGTGCGTCTTATAGAGCGAATGTGTGTGTGCCCGACGCCCGGGACGCTGCCTGCCCCCTGCACCACGTGGCACCACCTGGCCGGCACGCACTCAACGCACACTGCTCCGCCCCCCCCCCCGGCGCAGGTGAGAGCTGTGCCGCTCAGGGGGAGCGATGCGGAGGAGGAGGAGCCGCGGGCTTTAACCCGCCGGCCGCACGAAGAGACGGACTGCTCACCCCCACCACCCGGGAAGACCTGCCGTGGAGGAGGAGGAGCCGCGGGCTTTAACCCGCCGGCCGCATGGAGAGACGGACTGCTCACCCCCACTGCCCGGGAAGACCTGCCACTGCCGCACCGTCCGGAAGACCACCGCCGGCACGCTGCCGGCCCGGCTGCACCACACCTGGCCGGCACGCACTCAGCGCGCCCTGCTCCACCCCCCTCCTCCGGCGCAGGTGAGAGCTGTTAATAACAGGTCGGTGTGTGTTTTCAAATGGCAACCCTTCTTTTAATGAAGCCCATGGGGAAGTGATGGGGAATGTGCCTGTGATTATCAGGAAGCTTTCCATGGATCCCTCCTCTAAAAACTAGGTGCGTCTTATGGTCAGGTGCATCTTACAGAGCGAAAAATATGGTATATTATGATGATATATATTTGCATTGACTTTTAATTTGCCAGTGACCTCATGCGGGCCAGTCAGGGTCAGCCATCAGGCCGGATGTGGCCTGCAGGCCGTACAATGCCCAGGTCTGGTCTAGAGCAACTTGCAAGGGGTAGTGATACCAAGACCTTGTATCTTTAAGCAGTATGTACCCTTAGGTCAGAACTGGGCAAGAAGCAGCCTTCATGAACTCCCATCCTCTTCTGTGACCACCATTGCTGCAATGCTGAATTTGGTGATGCAGAAATGGGGGGTGGGGAGACGTAGTCTGCGACAGGGCTACCGAAAAGTTCCATAATGGTTTGCCACTTAATTGGGGAAGCTAGACAGATATTTCTTCAGTAGCAGCAGCGCAGCCCATAGGGAATTACTGAGGTGGAGGGGTAAATGTTGGCCTCTGGACAACATGAAGTTGCCCATGCTTGCTTCAGATAAATTCTTCCACAGCACCAGAAAAAAGGCACAGGACACAAAACCGGGTTTCAACATGGACCATATTGGAAATTAATCATTTAACAATACTTCTCCTTGTGCAGGCCCACATTAGCAAGGGGGAGGGCTGGGCATCTAGTTCCAAGAGCATCCAGCATCCTCGTGTAGGTGAAACCATGGCTCTGGGAACAAATCAGCACCAGGGCAGACCTTGAGCCTGCAGTTACAGTGAGAAGATGACGTATAGAGTCCAACAGGAAGTTGCCTTACCTAGGTACCACAATGAGCTAGTACCTGCCAGAGGTTGATATGGATGATCCTCCTTTTAATATCCCAGTGCCTCAAGAGGACTATACCATATTGGAGTGGCTCTGGGGATTGATATGCTCCACAACCTCATTTCATGTGACCTTTAGCCTCATTTCAAAAACTCTCTAAAATATATACAATCAGTTCAGCACTCTGACAAGAGTGATCTGTCTGCTCCCTGGAACCCAGCTGGGAAGGAAAGAGGGAGACAGAGGTGACCCACACTCTTTTGTTTCTGGCCTGGCCCACTGCTGGTTTCAGTTCTGCTCATCACTGATATGCTGGCTTTGACCAATTTTAGTCTGTCACCTAATTCAGTGGTGAACTGTGATGTATTTAGCACCATGTTATTTTACAAAGGAAATGACAGAGCAGAACTGGCGGTGGGGACAATCCGTTCCAAAAGGCATTTTAGAAACTGGACCTCCCCCCCTCATTCAGTCCAGCTGGTGATGAGCTAATCCTGCCCTGTCCAAAACTGATGAGTGGCCAGGTTGTCACCATGCCTGGAAAAAA